TATCTGTTTTTTTTTGTTGTTTATCTTCCTTCTGCTTTCTCTCGTCCCGATATTAAGGTGTGTAACTTTTATACTCGTATTTACCATGCTTTTTTAAATTCTTTTTTTGTAACAAAAATGATGGTATTGTTAAACTGTTGAACATTTAGAAAGACTTTACTGTCAGACGCGATAAGACGTATTTTAATTTACAGCTGTAAACGAAATTTCATGTTCTTTCTCGGGATGCCGTAACAATTATGGGCGTAGGAATAGGAATCAGTGTTCAAATTGTACCCTGGACTTTTGCTTTCATTTTCAGTTAGATTTCTAACTTGAGTGGCTCTTGTGCCTGAGATTGATTGACATGGTGGGAGTAAATTTGGTATATTATTCGGATATTTAAATTATATAGAAGTTGAACTTATGGCGGAAAAGATTGTAGTGATCATGATCATATATATATATATATATATATATATATGGTCACCCACAGACAGATAGTTTCGCTATATCACCAAACCCCATTGTGGCTAGACGACCGATTGCTTCAAGCAGGGATCGAAACCCAACTGATTTAACATCAGCCAGATACCATAATCGTAGTCTATCGTCACACGGCAGAATGGAAGGGAATTATAACGTTTTTCTCAATACGAGATACGCCAGCCGCTCACAGAACTCGATTCATACTTGATGAGTAATGCTTAATAGCAGTAGGAGACGCTCTTTTTAAATAGTCAGTACCTTCAATGCCATGATTAATAAAATTTTGTATATATATATATATATATATATATATGTGATAACGATATATAGTTTTGTATATCAAGAACAACATTTGGGAAAATGTATGAAAAGGTGAAAAAAAATTATGTTGACGCATTTCGAATTTTAGGACTTCATCTGACCAAGAAAACATTTCATTTCGACTACAATTACTAAAGATTGCCTTGATCGCAAGGTAATCTACAGTAAATTTCTGTCCTGGCTCTTGCAACATTTCACCATTCCTGGCATAAGTTCTGTTATCACAATGTGGGATATATAGCAACAAAAGTTATGGAAAAAAAGAATCCAAATGAAATCGGCTAGAGTCAAAAAACAATGATTTAAATTTAACATTCCGAGCATCCATAGTTCGTGTGCATGTTTAGTCGTCCCAGACATAACAAATTTAGTCCGATGAAGTCCTAAAGAACGAAACGCGTCACAAGAAAACGTTTTCCACATTGTCATACATTTTCCTCCATATATATATATATATATATATATATATATATATTAATCTTATAAGTATAAGAGATTATACTCATCCGGAAAACCTTCGGTGTCTTGATTTACAAATAATCAAACCAATACCAAAGGGTAAAAAAGGTTAAAAAAATGAAAGAACAAAGAACATGTACATCAGCCGAAAATAATCGTCTAGCATCCAAGACCAAAGTCCTGATGATTGCCTCTAGCATGAAACAGTTTGTCACCTCTGAGTGTTGTCTTTAATATTTACTTATATATATATATATATATATATGTATGTGTGTGTGTGTGTGTGTGTGTGTGTGTGTGTGTTTGTGTGTGTGTGTGTGAATATTGAAGTATATACATACGCTCTCTTCCTGGTATTGAGCACTTTATTCCAAAAATATACCACACCTTAAAAAATCTTTCTCTCTCTCTAAAAATATATATTTATTCATCATGACACCTCTCTCTCTCTTTCTCTCTCTCTAAAAAATATATATTTATTCATCATGATACCTCTCTCTCTCTTTCTCTGTCTCTCTTTCTTTCTCTCTCTCTCTCTCTCTCTCTATATATATATATATATATATATATAAGTTATCTTATGGCGTTAAAGTGCTCAATGTCAGTTTCAACACTATCATCGAAGATTTTTTTTGTCGGATCGGTTCTGAGAAAGGAAAGAAATAAGTTAAGTCCGTCTTTATTAGCTTTCCAATATTTACGTAGTAAAAGAACATGCTGCAACATAGATACATACGAGGACACACAAAGTGAAAGCCCAATGCACATGCAAATACGCTTCTTTCTCGATCTGCACGTATACAATTCTTTGAGAAAATTAGGCTGGCTTATACGAAAAAAAAAAAGAAAAAAGAAAACAAGTATAAACCAAAAAAAACAAACAATCAAACAAAAATACAATATTATCAGCATAAAACCAGCGAATAAATGTCTACATCAGTACAATGTGAACAATGCGACACGCTCTCGTGTTATATAAAAGCGGCAGGGTCGTTAAAACAGCAGACAGAAGACGGTGTTGGCCCAGAAGAAACGAATGTTATAACAATTGAAGCAACTGAAGATGGAGGCTTAACAGTGACAATAATACTTTGATATCTGTGTAATATAAAGGCATTTTGGAAGGGTAAAGTAGGAAAGCAAGTCAAATGAAAATAAAAAAAATTGGAAGGAAAAATAAAGGAAAAGGAATAATTCGGAGTTATCAAAGGAAAAAAGGATTGTATGAAAAGATGATAAAGCGAAAAAGTTA